GAGGAGGAGGGCTGCCACTTACAGCACCGTGCTCGGGACTGCTCCTCCCCTGCAGGGCCCTCGGCCACACCGCCTGCCCCAGAGCCAGCCAGCTACGGACTGGCCCACTACAAAAAATGCCATACACACCTTCCTCCTTCACTTGCGGGTGTTTAGGGCAGCATTTGAGAAGTGCCAGTTTACATTTTAATGCATGAATTTATATTCTATATTCAGCTGCCACCTTTAAAAATTGGAAAAGTAAAATCCATATTTCATTTCTTTCAGTTTTTCTTTATTAAGTGCATACAGGTGCACTGGGCGAAATTAACCCATTTGCATTGAGAATTAGCGACCGGACCCCTGGCACGCTTTTCTCCTGGGGCGTCTGTTTCTAAATGATTTCAATAAGCTCTGCAATGCATCACCTCCCAGAGACACGCTGCCTCACAAAGGAATTTGCTGTTAGTTCTAGAACCCCACAACCACAGCAGCCATCCCGCCCACTCCCACGGCAGGATGTGTGAGTGTAAACTCACGCTAACTCTGGCGTGCTCTGGTCTGGCGCCAGTGGCTGCCATGTAGCGCTTGCCTCACAGAAATTACTGATGTTCAGCTTCCTCGCTGAGCCACCTACAATTCAACTGTGAATTAAATTACCCTATTAAACTCCATGGTGCTCTCTTACCCCCACTTCAAGAGGAAGGTGTGTGTGGTAAGGCAGGCCCTGCAGCCCTGGGACCTTTCTGTCCCAAAGCTCCCTGTAAATGCCAGGCCAGCCTGGTCTACACAAGTGAATTCAAGGCTAGCCTGGACTATAAAGAAAGATCTTGTCTCGAAAAGAAAAAAAATTACCCACTCCATTATTTACAGAAAAAGAAAAAAAGCAATCCTAAAATTTGCATGGAATCAGAAAAGCCCAGGACAGCCAAAGCAACACTGGGCAACGAGACCAAAGCTGGAGAGAGTGCAACTGCAGATTTTAAGCTATACAACAAAGCTATAATCACAAAAACAGCATGGCCCTGGTACAAAAGGAGACATGTGACTCATGGAATAGAACAGACAAGATGTAACTCATGTACTGACAGTCACCTGAGTCTAGACAAACGGGCCACAGATACTTGCTGGAGAAAAGACAGCCCCTTTACCAAATGGCGCCAAGAAACCTGGCCACACAACCACTTGAGAGAGACTGAAACTAGATCTCTGTCTATCACCATCTACTGAAACAAATCAAAATGAACCATAAAAAACTAGAAACTTTGAAACTGCCAAAAGATAACCCAGGGGAACACTTGAAATCACAGGCAAAATGTCCTGGAGAGAACTCCGCCAGCTCAGGCGTTCCACCAAGAATCAGCAAACGGCTCACTCACACCAGCGAGCTCTGGCGCGCAGGGGCAGCGAGCAGCAGACTGAAGAGGCAGCCTGCAGAATGCGGGAAAGCTCTGCCCCCACTCCCGACAGCGAACCGCTGCCGAGAATGCACAAGGCCCCGGAAGCCCCAACACACAAATGGCCCCCTCAAGCACGGGCACACGAGCTGAACAGACTTTCCTCAAGACAGCAGGTGCAGGACGGCTACACATGCAAGCCAGGCCTGGCCCAGGCGACAGCCCGTCTCAAGAAAGAAAAGCAGAATTGGGCCATCAGTGTGAGGGTCAAGGTGCAACGTCTGGTACCCCAAAACTGAGCACAAAAGGCCAAAAATTACATGAAGAAATGTTTAACATGTTTAGCCATCAAGGAAATGGAAACCAGGGCTACTGTGAGACTCCATCATCCCAAGGCAAACAGCTGGGGTGGCTTCTAAGGGGCGGCCACCTTGCTCCACCCAACTGAACCGAACTAGCATGGTGCTGGCTGTGGGAGGCCCGCCTGAGGGCTGCTGCCAGCAGCACGAGAGGCAGAACTGGGGAGGCTGTTGAATGCTGGTGTGGAAGTTGTCTGGAGAAACTGCTGGAGCTGCTGGTTCTCCTGGACTGTGCTGCTGGGGGACCTCATCATGCTGGCTTTCCGGGTGAACTTGGCTGTTCTTGTTGGAGGAAGAGCTCGGGACCTCACTGTCACTGAGGATAGCTAAGGTTCATTTTGGGGGAGCTCTGGTGCTTACCTTGAGCATCTCTTCCTGGATCTGGAGGGGAAGATAGTGCAGTGCTCAGCCTCACGGAGAAGCCTGTCGCATTGGCTTTCCTGATGGGGAGGCAGCTCTCCTCATCGCTAGAGGAGCTCAGGACCTCGTTACCACTGAGGATGGCTGAGGTACTTTGGGGGAGCTCTGGTGCTAACCTTGAGCATCGCTTCCTGGCTCCAGCCCAGATCCCTCAGCCTGCTGGCCCAGATCCTTCATCCCACTGGCACAGACTTCGTAGCTTCCGCCACTGACCTTGGGCCTTCCCAGCACAGATATGTAAATTCTCTTTTAAAAATGTATTTGGTACAGGGACTCACTACGCAGCTTGACTTGTAGTGATCCTCCTGTTTTCAGCCCTGGGATTACAAGTGTGCGCCACCAAGGCTGGACTCAGTCACTGGCTCAGCACACCTGGGGGCGGGGCTGGTGCAGCATGTGGTGCCAGGGATTGAACCTGGTCCCTGTACTTGCCTAGGCAGGTCCTTAGTCTGCTGAGCGATCTTGTTGGCCCTTCCAGCACAGATCTGTGAAGCAGACCTGCACGAGACACGGTCATGGGCTCCAGGCCTCCAGGCGGGCTAGTAAGAGGCGCTGCTACGAGCTCCAGGCTTTCAGCTGGACTCATGCAGGATATCAGGATCCAGGCCCTCAGCTGGAGTCTTTAGTGTGTGAGCAGATTTTGTGCACTTCTTGTATATGATTCTTGGGTGATTCCTTATAAAATATTATAAAATGTGTCCATGGTATATTGCAAAAGCCCCAGACCATGGCATGGCAAACGGCTAGCGCTGGGAACCCCCCGAGGCAGGGCCATAAAGGCCCTCTAGTACACCGTTGGCGGGATGTGCTCTAGCAGAACTGGAAACCAAACCGACATCAGTGTGTGTGCTGGTGCCACGAGTTCTAGGGCGTAAGATTCTGTCCCTTAAGTTTGCTTCTGTAAATGTTGTCATAGTTACCTCACCAGATACCACCCCACACTTTTCATAAGACCACTTGATCCCTACATAAAATGTCACAGCTTTGTTCCTTTGACACAAGCTAAGCCCACACCTTGCACGAGCATTTCTGCAGCTGCACTAGATTATATCAGAGAAAACCTCATCATCCCCCAGATGTGGAGACCCAGAACTAGACTCGGACCTAGAACCTTATATTCAATATAAGCCAGGACTGATCTCGCTCTCCTTCCTTTCCCCCTCCCTCTCCCCTCCCCTTCTCTCTGTCCTTTTGTCCCTCCATCCCTCCCCTTCCCTCTTTCTTTCTCTCTCCTGAGACAGGGACTCATTCTGCAGTTCAGGGTGGACTTGAACTCACTATGCAACCAAGGTTGGCTTTAAATTTAAGACAATCTTCCTGCCTCAGCCTGCTGAGTGCCAGGACCATACTGATTTTTTCCCCTCTTTTAGTCCCCCTTAATTGAAGCAAACCTTGACTTGCTGAACACAATGTCACCCACACCTATTACTCATGCAAACAGCCCTCACCCTCCCCACAGCCAAGGACAGAAGCAGCCATGCCCTGCAGCCTGGCAGCACAGAGGAGCTGCCTGCCCTCTCCAGGGCTAGGCCAGAGACCTGCCTGCTTCGCCTCTGAGCTGTCACCGCTGACCTCTGTCCCCGCTTTGTGGCAAGGGTGTCCAGAGTCTGGGCTTCTTCCCACTGGATCAGAACTGTCCACGGGGTGGGCCTACTTTGGGCATCTGCTGCTCCCGTGCAGCCTCTGCCCCGTTTTCGCCAAGTCTCACCCATTTCCTTCCAGGTCACCAACGCTGATGCCTGTGGGCCCGAGCCTGGCCTGTGCTCCCGCACCTCTGGGGCACGCTGCGCCAAGTGGAAGCTGAAACCTCCCGGAAAGGGCACTAACCCACTCTCGGTGCGCCAGCTTCCTCCCCAGGAAGTACAGGGGCTGACATGTGGCCTCACCTTCATGAAGCGAGTGCTGGGGTCGAAACCCTGCCTCACTGAAATATCTACCTGTGTGAACGAGGGCCCTGGTTTTCGGATAAAGTAGAAACTTAGTGTTTCTGGGCCAAAGGTCCTGAAAGTTGTTTTGATTCTAATTCTGAAGAAAATTAAAATCAACCAATACTCAGAGGCTCAAGAAATCCCAAAGGCGCTCCTCCTACCCAGCCGCGCTGCCCTCCGCACTCACCAGCAGGATGAGCCAGCCAGCGAGGGCCGCCAGGGGCTTGCCCAGCAGCAGCAGGTCTTCAGCCACCTGTGTGTCCCCTCCCGAGCCAGACTTCTGTGCCTGTGACAAGAAGAGAGAAAGGGACTTGGGGATAAGTGGTTGGGCTGTGGGGGGCCAGCAGAGGGCAGGGGAGGAAGCAGAGCCAGGGGCCAGGGAGCAGGGTGAGGGGCCTGGACACGACAGGCGGCAGCATGGCCGACCGGGGCAGGCCATGCTGGGGGAGCTGCCAGGCCAGCACGGCCCCTTCCCAGCCACCCTGCAGCACTGGGAGCTGCGACCTCTGGGTGCTTGGGAGCTAAGTCATATGCCTACAGCCCCAGGGTAACGTGTGACCATGCCAGGCTATCCGACCAGACGCAATCTCTGAGTGTCTGCTCGAAGCCACTACATGAACAGGTTCCAGATGTGCATCCCCTTTCCAGGCATAGTGGCTGATGCTGTGGGGAGACAGGAATGGGGAGGGGAGGAGTGACACCACATTCCCAGGAATCACAGCAATGCCACCCCCCTACAGATGGGAAGCTTTACACTCAAACACTGCAGTGCAGCAGGATGTGCATGCGTCCTGCACTCTCCTCTCCAAGTCCCCCTTCAGATAAGGACTGCCCGACGGACTGAGCAGGCGCAGCCTGGGGTGCTCAGGAGGGGCCCAGGGCCATTGCCACTGCTTTCTGAGGCTCAGACGGACCTGGCTGAACCCTGTCCCAGGCACCCCAAGTCTGGCTCAGGAGAGCAGAGGCATCATCAGTCAGCACCTGGCTCCCCATAGGTGGGGGACCAGGTGCGGCCCCGTCCCGCAGGCCTGCGCCTCTGCGCCCTGGATGTGGCTCCCAGCCTCCTTGGAAGGCCCAGCCCGGGGAGGGGCTTTTCACACCCGACAGAGTGGCCAGAACAGACCACCTCCTCTCTGGCCCTCCAGAGCAGGCAAGCCTGGGGGCTCTCTCACCAAGTCGTGGGGGCCCAAGTCCACAAGGTCTCCTAGAGTTGTCACTCACTGTCACCTCATCCCCAGCCGAGGCTCCGCCAGAGGAGTGTGGCATGGCACAGGTGAGGCAGCGTCAAGAAGGCGGAAGGCATCAGAGATCCACTCTGCATGGAACGTCGGCCAGCCACAGTACTCGCAGTGTGGCAAAAGGACTTCAGGAAGCACTCAGCGGGGTGAGCCTGGCTGCGCCCCTCCCAGCCTCCCCTTGTGTGCAGGTTCCCTGGGCCCACATGCTAGCTCTGTGCCCACCGGGCGCACCCTGCCCGGGGCGCCTGTCCGCAGGAGTTACAGCCCCACCCCTCACCTGCCTCAGCCTCCTTTCCCCTTTCATTCCACCCAGGCTGGAAACACAGATTGGTGGCACCCCCACCCAGGGGCCTTCATTACCCACACCGTGCGCGCAGCATCGCACCCCTAATCCACACACGTGTCCTACCCCAGCCTCCTCTGAAAGTCCCCCTCTGCCCACATGGGGAACTGGGGGGATCGTGAGCTATAAGGCACCCCAGCAAGGCAGGACCACAAAGGAACCAGCCTGGGTAATGGAAGGAGGCACTGAAGGTAGAGGCCACAGTGCCAGCCACGGAAGGGCTCCCAGTGTGCACAGATAAGTGTGGCAGGGACACTTAGTCTCTGGACACCAATGCACCCGCCCACCAGTAGCGGCTGAGCTGTCCTACTAAGCAGGGTAGCAGGCTGAGCTCCCCGAAGCACCCCAGGGATGGTGGGCAGGGCCCAGCCCGAGGCTCTGCGGTCGGAACCTGTATGCCCTCCCTGAGAAGCCCCCGCTCCACTCCGCAGCGCCCTCCGTAGGTGTGCACCACATCTTTAGATCTGTAACAAGAGGACTGGCTGCTCTTTCTGTACACCGACTGTAAGGTCCCTGGAGCTGACACCCCGTTCTCTCGGAAGCTCTGCGGACAATGCAGGCTCCTAGTCCCAGGTGCACAGTAAAGCAATCAGCCAATTGCCCGCAGGCCTGTCTGGAGCCCCATGGCCACAGATAGACTAGGGTCTTGCTTCCCGCCAGGCCCTGGGAGTGAGGACGGCAGAGCCCACAGGAAGCTTCAGATGAGGCGGCGAGCACCTCCGTCCTCGCTGTCTGAGATATGAGACAAGTTCTGGCGGACCTTCTGGCTGAGCAAGACGCGACGAGGTGGCAAGCACCTCCGTCCTCACTGTCTGAGATACGAGACAAGTTCTGGCAGACCTTCTGGGCTGTGTCAGATGTGTCCCATGTGTGGCTCACTACACATGGCTCAGCCCTACTGTGCTGTTCTCCTATCTGCCTTGCAGGTGACAAAGACTGTGTGACAGGTGAGGCCTCTCACCCAGGCCAAGCCAGGGAAGCCACACAGTGGCCAGGACCTCAGCAGACAGATCCCAGTGGCAAGTGCCGGTGTCCATACCAGTGCTCCAGCACATGACCTGTCTCTGTCACCATCTTCCACGCATGACCCACGGATACCAGGACTCCATCCTGAGTGGGGAGCAGGGCTGTCGCTGAGCTCCTCCACCTCCCCCACACCCAGCATGCAGACCAGCCTGCGCCGCTCCCATCCTGGGGAAAGGCAGCACCTTAGAAACCTCCCACTGCTCTCAGCTCATGGCCCGCAGCCTCCCAGACTCCCGCGACAAGGAAGTGCCCATGGAGGTGTGGCGCCGAGCGCATTAGGCGCGTGCTGTAGAGTGCGGGGCTCGGTGCACGGCTGTGCGGACGCGCACTCTGCCCTGCCCTCAGCCATCTTTGCTAGCTCCTATCTCCCGGACACAGGGGCCACGGAGATCAGAGTTGGTGGCTGTGGCCAGGGCCAGGGCAAGACAGGCAGGCCACAGGGAGGAGTCAAAAAAGGGCAGCAGGAAATGAGCATGGCATCCAGTGACACGAAGCAAAGCAGTGGTCTGCTGACACAACCACAAATTGAAAAAGAAAAATTAAGTGTTTTCTATTCGGGAATTATGTTTGAAATACCCCCGAGTATCTGCCTAATCACTTATAACAAAAGAGGGTTTCTATTGTTTGGGCGGGTTTTTTTATTTTTAATAACTTCTGATACAGCTTTTTAGTCCAAAGCCTACAAGACATAATCTTCTACAGCCTTACCAGAAGGCACCTCAGGACAGCAACTATCATCTATATCTTAAAGAATTCCACAAAGCGGCCATGGTAGAAACTGAAACAAGACACAACGCTCATTGAAGGGAGACTCCCCAGAGAAAAGGCGGAGACATATGTACCTCAGGGTTCGGAGGTATTTAACAAGGCGGTGCTACTGACCAGAAGCGTCCGTGGGCAAAAGACGGCCAGGAAACGCATTATTAATCCAGCAGGTCTGCAGTGTGCAGTACCCACGTGGCAGCAAACTGGAATATAAGCTGAAAGGATCGGGCATTGGGAGCCTTGCCGGGCAAGCGGCTGCAGGGCTGGCAGTCCAGTGGGTACCAGGTGCCATGTACCTTTATAAGGGCTGCAGAGACTGAGCCAGGGCATGGAGCTCACTCTCAGCCCTGCTACTGCGATCCTTGGCAAGGATCAATGCAGCGCCCCATGAGCCCCTCTGCGGCCGGACGTGCCCCGCTGATACACGTCCCTGCAGCGTACCAGGATGCTAAGCGTGCCCTCGCCCTGGCTAAGCCACTGAGAGTGGAGCGAAAAGCAAGTGCAGCAGGCATCGAGGCGCTGAGCACAAGAGTGCACAACAAGCCCGTCTCCTTCTTCAGTGCAGGGAAGGAAGTGCAGACTGAGCTGTGGCCAGGCCAGCTGCCCTCGCCACGGAGCAGGCTGTGCACTCAAAAGCCTCGCACAATCCCAGGGGAGAGGCAGAGGGGCGGCGAGCAGGTGGGCAGGCGACGTGGCCCATGTGTGCGTGCGTGTGTGCGTGCGTGTGTGTTGGTGTGTCTGCCAGCATATAAGCACATGCACGTGCACTCACCTCGCTGAGCCATAAGTCTGCCCTGCTTGGTCACCCTTGGCGCCCCTCAGGCTGGCAAGCTGCCCACCAGAGCCCGGAGCTTTCGCTCGGGGGCCTCCCTGCTTTGGCTCAGACTCGGTGACTGCAGCCCCTGCTCCTGATGCCAGTCACCAGGACGCTTAGCACACTGCCGGTGCGGAGTGCGCATTCTTGCAAAAGCAGCAGAGGTGCGTTGGGGATGCCTGGAGGATGACGGGACCATGACCCGGGAGCCCCTCACCTGCAGGGCCAGCCGCACGACCCGGGACATGTAGGTCAGCATGCCGTGCAGAACGTCCAGCAGCGAGAACAACAGCGTGGCGGCCACCTCGGCGGTGCTGTGCTTACCGCGCTCGTCCAAGCACAGCGTGGCAGCAGCAGTGAACAGGCCGCAGACGTGAGGCACAAGTCCTGGGGGGAGGGGAGAGCAGAGCAGGAACGGTCATTACAGCTCTATGCATCCCGGGGGCGGGCGGGCGGGCGGGGCGGGCGGGCGGGCGGGGCAGCTGCACTCCGCGCTGCGGCGGCTCTGCACCCGGCTGCGCTCGGGCTGCTGTCACTCTCAAAGGCGGATTCATGTGCAGCCTTCCAGCTGCATGCTCAGGATCTGCTCAGGAACCGACGGGCTGGGCGTGGCAGGAAGAAGGGTCCCACACCCTGCCGACGTGGGGCTCCAATCATGCTTGGAGAGAAAGGATCGGTGGGCAGGCACCCCAGGTTCAAGGACACGCTGCTGGAGGAACCGGGAGGTACAGAAGCCAAGTGTGCCCTGACCCCTCCAGGAAGGCAGTGCTCCTCCCTCTGCCACCGACTTCAAAGACTGTGGTCCCCAAGTCTGGCGTCGCGTGGGTCTAAATGTGAGTCGCTTCTAGAGGATGATGCAGTAGGATGATCTCTCTAATGCATTTCAGCAACAGAAGATTATGATTTTTAAGAAATTTAGAATTTGCCAGCTCCTATCATGTTATCTGAAAACTCACATTAATAGTGCGTTTGATCTTCACCAACTTCTAGTCCACACACACACGTTTTGGGGGCACTGCTGTTTACTTTTCATTTCACAGTGTCACAGTTACTACTATTTGGCGCAGGCCTCTGAACGTGCCAGATGAATCAGCTCTAAACACGATGAACGTGATGATGTCCTAGGCTTACACGACGCGCGGGATCCTAGGCACCAGAGCAGCCAAAATCCAAACAGTGCGCACGGGGTGCTCTGTTCTGCGGGGCCTGCACCCCTTCATCCTGGCCCAGCCAGGGGCAGGTGGGGCGCATGCACTGCTCTGGGGTGCTGCTTCTTCCACAGTGTACCCCACTGCTTCCACCAAACCAACCTCGCTCTCCCAACCGGGCAGGATATTCTTCTGACTACAGAAGTAACTGAGTTTGCTGCAGAAGGTAGACATGGAAGGAAGTTAGAGGGACTGTTCAAAGCGTCACTTCTTGTAGAAAAAACCAGTACAAGTGACATAACTGCCACTTAAAAAATCTGAGTCAAGGATGAAGATAAATATACTTGAGAAAGGGCAAGTTTGTCATTGTCAAAGTTTCAATATCAAACAGCAAGGCCTAAGAGCACACACACATCAAGGACACGCAGTACAGGAAAGCGACCGTCCTGCAGGCACAGCACGCCCCAGCCCCTGTCCTCTGGGGACAACGCATCACTTGTGTGTGCGTCGAGGACTGGCATGCGGGCTTCATGGCTGTGACAGGGCACAGAGCTGGGAAACATGGTCCTTGTAAGCTGGCGAGGCCTCCCCCACAGCCCCTGAGGGCTGTGCAGACCCGACGTCCCGCAGGTGGCCAAGGAAGCAGATACAGTGCTGGTGACGGCAGTTCTGGGGACTGAGCAGAACTCAGCCCGTCTGAAAGCCTGACCCAGAGTAAGCAGTGGCAGCCAGCAATGCTTCCCGTGACCCTCACCTGGCCTTGGAGGCGCAACGGCTGCAGACAAAGCCCTGCTGGCGTGGGAAGTCATCCCTACCCGCCAGGTGAGAAGTGGCAACAGGTGCCAGAGCCTGGCTGCACTCGGGTCCCCCAGACCCAGGGGACATGCATGGATGACAGGAGTGGTGAAGCATCGGGCACTACACGCCCCACCAGGAAAGCACTCTGCTGGGCCTGTGCCGCAGGTTCACGTGTGCCTCAGAGCCGCAGTGATCACTTCAGGACCAAGTGTACGTATTTCTGGTCTAAACTGCAAGACAGATCAGGAAAAGCACACTCCTCTACCCTTTCTGAGAACTGCAATGAAATGGGGAGATTATTTCCGCATCAGACCAAAAACTGGGGAAAAAAATGGTTTATTAATAAAGCTGGCCACTAGACCCTTCCCGGGTTATAGATCTTAAATGTCCAGCTGGCATCCAATCGGCTTCCCCATCCTTATAGATCAGAAACAGGCCTGGCCTCGTTCTTTGTCTCATCTCTGCTTAAATGCCTTCTTGGTTTCCATGGCAACCATGGAATGCTGTGGTTAACTCAAGAAATCTCACGATTCTTCTTTGTAATTAGTTCTGTTTTATCTCTTATGTTTCCAACTTCTTAACAAGGATGTGGAAGGACTGAAGGAATGGCAGCATTTTAACAAGGGTGGGGAAAGAGTGAAGGAGTGACACCATCTTAACATGGGTAGATTAAAGGCTAAACGAGTTTCTTCTGCTAGAATAAAATTAACCCACTGAGAACTGCCAGTCCCTATGACAGAATTCTATCGATCTTATTTTCTCATGTCTTTTTTCAAAGTATTTCACATCAAACACCACACACCTATTTTTCCTGGAGATTCTTCTATATAGTCTAACAGACATACTTTCTCGGCTACACTGCCATTACCACCTAATGAAATAAAAATATTATATATTAAATATATTAAAATTTTATATAATTTATATATAATATATTTTAATATTTTATATATTTTAAATATATTAAAAATAAAATATATCAACACTGCAGAATGCTGGTACTGAACCAGAAGAAGAAAGGCTCCACACCAAGGAGTCAGAGGCAACTGTCGTCATGCTGGCGAGCTGGTGGGAATCACTTCCAAATCACCAGCCCAGAGTTACCTGAAAATTAAGTTTAAGTACATTTTGCAAGCAGGAAACACAAGGCTGTAGCAGGTTATTACATGATCGGTTACATGAATTAAGTCATGTGTTGTCAAGCAGGTTTGTTGCAGGTTTACTTAAACTGAATTGTTTACCATAAGGCAAGAACATCCTGGGAGGGAAAGAGAAGGGTCTGAATGGAGCACTCAGAGTTAAATGGACCCTTGCCTGGGCCAGTCTGCCCTAGACATGAAGTCCTTGAAGCAAGCTAGAAAAAAGCGTGGTGGTGGTGGCGGTGGCGGTGGCGGTGGCGGTGGTCTGAGACAAGGGCTGCTCCCAGCTATTGGGCTGTGGACTGGGTGAGGGTCCTCGGAGCAAACATGAGAGAAATCACAAGTTCATGGACCGTGGTCTGTCAGAGCCAGAAGAGGCCCCGGAACAGGAGCACCAAGTGAATTTCAACAAGGTCACTCTTTAGAAGAAACAAGTGCTTTCCAACACAAGGGGACACTAAACAGTGGTCCATTCACAGGAGGGGAGAAAAGGGAAATCTTTGGCTGCTACATTCAATGATGCACAAACCTAATTTCAGATAAATCACACATCTACATGTGGAAGCTAAAACTAGAAAGTCCTAGAAGAAATTTAAGATCCTCTATAACTAGGAGGTAGACAACATTCCTTAGGACCTAAGAAGTCCTACTTAGATGTTGATAATCAAAAGCTAAAAATTTTACAAATCAAAAGGCACTATTTGAAAATAAATTGGCAAGCCAAAGACCGGGAGGAAACACTGCACTGAACAAAGAACTTGCACGCACATTACAAATGGTTCCTACCACTCAAGAATAAAATGACAACAAATCCAATTTTTAAAACTGAGTAAATGATTTGAACAATCAATACACAAACGAATTCAACATTATCAGTCAATGCAGAAATGAAAATAGACACTGCAATGAGATGTAACCACACACAAACAGCAATAAACAGCAGCACTGGCCGCTGGTGACGTGGAGAGCCCCATGCTTACACACACCACGGACGACCCACAGCTGGCTCGCTCTCTTGCGTAAGTGCAAGTTGAGCATCCTACTGCCGCTCCTAGGTGTTGTCCACGCAAGATGGAATTCTGTCCACATAAAGCCTCATTAAGCCTGTATCTGCAAGAGCCCCGAACTGAAACTTGAGGCCCGATTACATCTCAGCGAGCAGCGACTGCTACTCGGCAGTACGACTGGACCACCGACTGCTGCAGCAGGCACGCACCTCACCAACACGCCGATAAAACCCATGCACTCTTAGCAGCACGGGAGTATCTGTTTAAAACTCTAAAGAGAACTTGTTTTTGCTGACTGACCTCCGAGAGGTCCACTCTGCTTCTGGGAGTGGAGAGGGACAGCCCTTCCGGGGCAAGGGAGATGCTCTGAGCTAGGATGGGAGTCGGCTGCAGGTGAGGGGCATTTTCAAAACCAACTGAACTATACTGGTAAGACTGGTACATTTCGCTATAACAAATTGCACTTAACACCCTGAAACCCAGAGCTAACAAAAGCATTTGTGGCACAGCAGCACAGTGTCTGAGGCAGCAGTGCAGAGGCGCGTGGGCTGAGGTGGATGCCCGGGATCTGCAGGACAAATGCGGCTGCATGTTGTATGGGCTGAAGTCAGTGCTAAGAGGAAGGGAATCCAAAGAATCCATGCACAGAGGCACGGAAAGTAAGCCCTGGAACCAGGCTGCAGCTCGGGCTGTGGGCAGCAGGCAGGGGACATTTAGACAGGACGGGAAGACCTGGGCAGGGCCCGAGGGCAGTGAAGGCAGCCAGGGCTGGACTGGATGGAATCCACGGCAAAGGTGCTGATCGGACAGAACAGAAGGCCTAACAGGGTGTCTCGGCTGTCAAAGAAAGACTAGAGTCAAAACAAAAAGGGGGCGTCGAGAATGGCCACAGGGACAAAACATCTTCTGTGTTTTCGCAGTTGCTGGCTGGACTTTCTGCACAGGGGTGGTGATGTCCCTGTGGCCATTCTCGATGCCCCCTTTTGTTTTGACTCTAGTCTTTGATAGCCAAGACACCCTGTTAGGACTGCTGTTCTGTCCAATCAGGAACTTAACAAAAAAAGGGGATACAGATGAATGTCCATTTTGTATCTGTGTATTCAAAGTGGTTAGGATAGATATATAGTTGCATTCTCTTAATGAATAGAATGATTTGTTCCAATAGTGTTTGTAAATAGGATCTCAAGTCCGCATCTTGTACAGCAATTAACCACTAGGAAGAATGTATGCAATGTGTTAATTATTGAAACTGTCCTACCAATTTGGTTTGAAACTGTCTCATTGCTATTTGTTTC